TTAAGGTCTTTAGAATTCATGGTCTAACCATCCAATTCAATAATTCCTTACTTTTGAGACTTGGTTAAATGGCTCTATACCAAACAACCAAGTGATTTCTTCTCCTTAAATCATAAAACATCATTACTTAACCTTACGTAATCATCATTTAATCCATAATGCATACACATACACATTTTACTCCGCTTTCTTAGTTGGCCAAATCTATCAAGCCTAACTAGCACTTTCAATTCCATCAATTTTCTCTTTAGTTTCAAGTCAAAACATGGTTTACATATTTCATTAAACACCTTAGTTGCATCGATTACCTACAACATAATCTTTCCCTATTCTTTCTAATCTTAGCTGAATGGTTATCCCAATGAATCAATTCCTTGAGCTTCTCCTTCTCTTATTAAATCACTTAACACTACCAACCAATCATCAATCATATAATTTTACATAAACTCCTAAATTCCCAATTCATAAAAAAATACATATTAATCATTCAAAACATTAAACTATTAGTAATATGAATGAGATCACACTTACCCATCAGCATTACAATGTTCAATCAATTATCAATTATCAATTACACAAACCAAACATCAATTGAACACAAATCATTCAATTGCTCAATTTGAAAACCTTAGGTTCTAGTCACATAATTGCACCAATTCAATACATAATCATCGTAAGTCTTATGGTGAGTTGTAGTTACACTTAAATGAGTATACTATATGCTTAGATGCACTTGATCTTTGTAAAATCTTTCCTCCTCCTTCATCTTGGTTTTAGCCAAGGTTCATTTCCTTCACTCTCCTTGTGCTTGCTTCCTTAGGTCTTTAATAAGGTTTTATGGGTGGGTTAGCGTCGATTTTGGGTGGAATTTAGGTAGGGTTAGCTTAATTTCTTCTAACTTCCCCTTCATTCCATAACATTTCTTCCTCTCTTTCTCTTGAAATTCAACCGAATGTTCCAACCCAAAATTCAGCTTCTATACTAAATATTTGGAGTAAAATTCGAACTAAATGAGCTTGTTTAAATGGCCTTTTATTTTACCAAAATTTTTCACTTTGGTTCTTGACTTATATAATTTAATTTAATCACGCCTATAATTCCACTTCCTTACTTTTAATTACAACATTTCAGCCTTCATTTAAGATAATTTTGAAATTAATATTGATCTCTTGACTCCCATAATTATTTAAATTAAATAAATAAACCTTTAAATTTTATAATTTCCTCCTTAAAATAATTCAATTAAATATAAAAAATTCATTATCTCTTAAATTAATCATCCATGGTTACCAAATAAATTTTAAATTATTTCCTCCTTCCATATACACATATATAATTACTTAAGAGGTTTTTGGTCAAGGATATCACGGATATCTTAGGGGTTAAATGCTTTATTTAACACTTTCCGCAATACCCTCTAATGTGACTTAAAGTTCAAAATGAGTGAAAGTAAAGAAATTCTAGCTAAGGTTTTTTTTTAGATAATCTACCATATTATAGTCATTATTCTTTGTTATCTTGAGAAACTCAATGGCTTTATCATAATCAACCAACTTGTTTACCTCACCTATCGTAGGAAAATCCACTACTTCTTTCTATTTCATGTTTCTCTCGTATCTCTATCTCCTTAAGGGTAAAACACCTCCCACTTCTTATAAAGTTAGCAATATTAGTACTAAAAAATGTGTTCATAAATAAATATATATAGCTTACAGCATTGTAAGGTGGAGCAAAGTGATTCTTAGTCATACCGAAACTAGGCACCGATAAGATCATCTTTAAAAATCCATACCAATAGGTTGATATCGATATACTTACGCTTGGCTTATCTCTTATTGTGATATCATTCTAACTATTAGTCTCTTTTTTCCTTTCTCTATTCAAAGAGTTCGAAGACTATCATAATCTCTACTTCTTGGTGGAATTCATCACAAGTATCGATGACAAGTCCTCATTCTCTATGGTATTTATAGTATTGATTCTCATCACCATCAACTTGATTTCTAACAAGTTTTCGAAGATAGCCAATTTGTGAAAACATAATAAAAAAATCTATCCATTGAAAACACTTGATCTTTTTTTGTCATATGTTAACTCTTCTAAGGCTTTTATGTTTACCCTTCCTTCTTTTAAGGCACGATTGGAGAGAGGATTAGTATTAACATTAGAAGCACTTAGGTTAATGTTGAAACTTATCCATCTATGCTTGATAAGGAGCCATAATTTCCTTTTTTAGGTTTTTTAATTTTTTTTACACCTTAATGTATTTATATATTTATTTGATTTCAATTTATATTATTTTAATTTTATTAAATACTATATCATACTCTAATAAGGTGTTATTTTTAGTTATTTACTACTACCATTAACATTAAACAACTATTAATTTATATATAAAAAAATTCCTTTGTTTAGCGACGGATTAGTGATCGAATTAACAAATTAACAACAAAAATTAAACCTCTTTGTTACGGATGCATATACGATCACTAAATAGAGATAGAGCGACGGATTTACGAGGAATTTTAGCGAGTATAATTTAGCGACGACAATAAGAGGAATCGTAACGGTTTTGCGACAAATATCAAACGTAAAAGACGATTGTTTACTTCGATTTAGCAACAAAAATTCTATACATTAGCAACAATGATGAGAATAAATATATGTAGCTAAAAAAATAACGACAATTGTTTTAGTTACCGAACGTATATTATTGCAAATTCGTTGCTATTTTTTTATTTTCTTGTAGTGCGCACTATAAAATTAAAAATAAAATAATTAAAAATAAAAGAAATTTTTTAAAAATAATTATGGGGTTCAAAATTAGGTTATAACAACTATATCCGAAAGGGTTAAAATAAACATGAATGCATAGTTTGGGGACACAAGATGTATTTAATTCCTTTATGAAGTCAATATCTCTTGATTTTATGAAAATATTAAATAAACTTCTAATAACCCATATGCTTAAAATGTCTGACATATTGCACACAAAAAACTCTTATTATTCTCAAATAGGCTTATGGAACCGGAATAAACACAAGCCCGGAAAGATGCTAGCTACTAAAGCTGATGTCAACATCTAGACTCTTATGTATGAACCATGATACTTAATTTAGTCATAATTTAAGTGGGGACCTACTTATTCTGGAAGAGAGGCTGCTGTTTCACTAAGTGAAGGTTCTATTTAGAGCACGTCTTTGTACACTGCATAACAATCCATCTTTGGCTGGCAAATTCTCTATTTAAAATTTAAATTAGTAGAATGTTGTAACATTTTAATTTAAAAATTTATAGCTTAACCAATAGTAATTAAGTAAAAAAGTTAGAACATTATATATTAAATTGAAAATAAGTTAGGATAATTTTTTGTAAGTTTTCTTAATATCCTAAAAATATGAATAGGAACTAATTCATTTCCTAAAACATATCTCTCAAGTGAATAAAGAATATATCTCCACTTAAATAACACTTTTTAGGGTCTTTCAAAAAAAAAAAATGATGTTTTATTTGGTAGAACTTCATCCTTACTTATTTTTACAGAGTTGGAATTGAATCGGAAGACAGAATGTAGAGCAATGATATCCTAGAAAGGACAAATTGTTGAGAAAAGTTACTGCAATAGTTTTTATTATGACTCACAGCCCAAAAAAAGTTTGAATCTCTTTTTAAAAAGTGATATATTCATCGCTTAATCTAACTTCCTCGTTGTAACAAAATAAATAAATAATATTCCTTCTGTAATTTTTTTTATATTTTTAACACCAATACAAACCTATACCGAATATTGTATCAAATCGTGGCATTTTATTTATTTATTAGGTGCTAGTAACTTTATGTGAAAAGAAGTGAAGAGTGGAGGTGATAAACAAAACTCAACCAAAATGGAAAATGTCAGAATATATATATATATATATTATTTTTATTACATCGCCTAGAATATGGTTAATTGCTTCAATGGAAGTTGTTAATCTGACTTTCCATCATGATAGTGTTTTTCAAAGTTCGCGAGCACCAAGAAAATTCCAAAATTTGAGCATTTTTTCAAAAATCACTAGTTATCGGGCTGGAACGTGCAGCCAGTTAATTAATTAAGCGTCCGGTGAGGATGGCAGTAGCTGTAACGATGTGAATGGTGAAAGTTTTCTGAAGCGATGGAAAAGATGTTAAAAATATCGAAAATGCTTGATCACGTCACGATAATAGACATCATTTTTAAAAACAGAAAGATTTTAAAAATAAATTTAAAAATAAAAAAATTAAATAATATAATATTTATTGAAATAAAATATATAATATTTTTTTCCTTGTCTCCTTAAAAAAAACCAAGACCCTTGATTGTGGGACCCAGATAGGAGCACCCCGCACTTAAAAATTGGTAACCAGACGCTACCGGTGGTTAATGGTTACCCAAAACGGGGCTTAATTATTTATTTCTTGCATTTCACTCAATTCTTTTGTTTTTTTTAATAACATAATGAATATTTACGTGATCAATATGATTTATTTGTAGTCTGAATAAAGTTAATTAAAAAACTTAAACATGTTTTGCTGTTGAATTCGTAACAACATACTGACAAATTTATTAGTTAATTTATACCTGAAACAACATCAATATTCCCCAATATAACAAAATTTAATTTAGAGACGAGAATAATAGAGACCACATATATTAATTCTCTAATTTTTTTTCCTTTTCTCAAGCTTTGATTGAACCATGTATGATACTCGAAAGGTCATCAACTGTGATTCCACAGCATAATCGACTCGAGAGATAGAGAGGGACAATGAGAGAGAAACACATAAACACAAATTAAGGCAAAACATATAAAAGAAATCATCATATATCGATCGATCAACAAAAAATATATATGATATGGGGTATGATATTTTTTGATTGAAATCATCATATACAAAATTATTTAGCTGGATATAAGGACCAGGAGAGTAGAATACATAAAATAGGGAAATTGATGTACGTGGAAGCAAGACCGTTTATTTCACCGTGCAGCTTTCATAGACATCCACTTGCTTAATTCAAACCTCTTATGCTCTAGCTTGATGAACTCCTCAGCTACTTCATCAACATTTTCACTACAAACCACATTATCACCAACCCTAACACAGACTGGGGCTTTCTCATATTCTACAGCTTGGCCGTACCCTTTCGTACTCTGCCAATTATTTCTATGGTGTTTGGGATGATGTTGCTCGGCATGTTTTGGAGAGGTTGTGGAAGACATCTTGATATGCTCTATATCTTTAATTTTTACTTCCCTAGTATCATGTTTACGAAGATTTATATAGCCCCCATTTTATTCTTGAATGATAAGACTGAATCCGATGCCCTTACCTTTGATTTTTTAATCGACATGTTCGGCCAGTTTTGGAGTCCGTTAAAGAACCTAGAAAGTGAAGAAATAAATTTGAATCGTTTAACAGTATGAACAACTTGAGAGAGTTTTGAGACAGAAGGTATATCAAACCAATTCAACTTTATTCCCTTGTCGAATATTCAACACAAAGACCCATGAAAATAATTATAATTATAAGGGAACAATTTATAGATGCATTAACGCAACTACTTGAAGCCAACCATTAATTCTTGCCAGGAACCAATTGTAATTGGTCAGTCAGTTCAATAAACTTAACTAAGCAGCTGGTCTTGAGTTCTGGTCAAAGCTTTTATCAAATTCGTTTTTAGTCAGTCGAAAGTATCAATTGGCTTGTTCGGCACTACATGCAAGTTAGACGAAGCACACCTAACAAAGCATTTGTGACAAGGAATCCTTCAGTACATACCTCGAATCGGTATCAATTGGCTTGTTTGGTACTACATGCAACTTAGAAGAAGCGCACCTACTAAAGCTTTCGTGACAATGAACACTGAACATAACTCAAATTGGTTATTGAAAAGCACAAGTTGCCAGGGGTGATCCTAAAATGGAACATCCACCGACTTTTTGGATGGAATGATTTCCTTGTGGAAATAAAATAAATCAAAGCTGTTATATAATAAACTAAACAAAATATGAAAACACTATGCAATCACCGTTGTTTTTCCTATACTTCACACTCACATTCACCATGTATGGACACTCAACTCTATCGTGAATTTTCACTCGTTTATTGATATTTTTATGCTTTTATCCTAAAAAAAATAAATTCTGAAATTTATTTGTATTGCAATCCGATATCTAAATACTTAAAGAGAAAGAAACAAAAAGAAAGAGGAATTAAAAAGTTTGTTTTGGCTACTTCAATCATTGAATCCATCACTAATTTATTCGTCTTGAATAGTAAAATCTGTTTGTAGCAGCTTACAAGTCATTAAATAACTAGAAAAAATATATTGAAATCCAAAAATATTATAATTTTTTTGAGTTTGATTTAAACTTTTGTGTTTTGTATGTATTAAAATAGATCTTGAAGTTTGAAACAAGTTTGATGAGATTATTTTAGCGGTTTTGAGGTGTTTTCGGATAAAAATGAGGTTGAATTTGGCTTTGAAGGTTGGAAATTAAAAACTCATTTTTCTAGCAACATTTTCGGCAAAGTAAAGTTTGCTAGAAATTATAGAAGGATGACATGTCGTCTCGCTACGTAAAAAGTAGACATTGGATCGTCCTTTTTTTTTTTTTTTTTTCAGGCATGTGCCCTAGCTCTTCTTCTTCTTTTTTTAATAATTTATTTTTTATTATAGATTTTTGGATGAAGATTATAGATGATCAACGTTATTTTTGGAATTCGCAAGTAGCTTGGTGAGAAAAAAAAGATATATATTTTTATATTTTAAAATGAATATATATTTAAAATTTATTCTTTTTAGTTTATCATTTCTTATGGAGATTGGCATCCAATTAATTTTTAATTTTTAATTTTTAATTTTTTATTTAAATTTTATTTATTGACAATTACAATTTATTTTTCTCAATGTAATGAATTTCCGTATAAAAATTTAGAATATAATTATTTTCTCTTTAAAAAAAATTGATATAATTTATACGATGGATTCATAAATTTTTTTAAATGATAGTAACATTATATATGTTTGAAAAATTATGAGATAAATTATCTGAAAAAAATTTATTTTTAAATTAAATTTACAAAATAAGTTTTTAGTTAAGAATTCATGGATTTTTAATTTTTTTTTAAAAAAATTATTATAAATTTTTATTTAAGAATCCAAATAAAAGAGAATAAATCATTTTTAGCAGAAAAATTATGAAAAAATAATGAATAATTAGTTAAATACAAAATTTTGATATAAAAATTTCATAAAATTAAATTATTATTTTTTTATTTTTTATTTGATATATTTTAGTAGATTCACAGCATAACACAAACCATCAAAATGAAAAAATATATATATATATTTTACTCGACTCATAGCATAATGTCAGGAAAAAAAAAAAATAGGAAGCCTTGTAATTTGCACTAATAAGCAGGGCCAAAGTGCAACCACCCATCCTCTAAATAATTAATTGAGCAGCGAAGGAAGAAATAATAACTCGGTATCAATTGCCAGCTTCCATGCTAGAGAGGCATGTCGTTTCTTTCAAACTTCAACTAGACGCTGAAAAACATTATTAGACATGGTCCATGTTACGAAGTGAACCTCCACGAGGTCCGTTTTAATCATTTCGATGATCGAGTTTATCATTAATTTGTTCGTTTTAAATAATAAAATTTATTTATTGTAATTACAGGTCATGAAATAATTAGAAAAGATAGATTGAGCTTCAAAAATATTTTAAATTTTTTGAGTTTGATTTAAACTTTTACGTTTTGTGTGCATTAAAATAGATTTTGAGGTTTGAAATGAGTTTGATGAGATTATTTTTGTGATTTTGAAGTGTTTTTGTATAAAAATGAGATTGAATTTGGCTTTGAAGGCCAAAAATTAAAAACTCTTTTTTCTAGCAACATTTTCGACAAACTAAAGTTTTGCTAGAAATTATAGAAGGACGACATGTCATCTCGCTATGCAAAAAGTAGACATCGGATCATCCATTTTGTTTTTTTCATTTTTTTTTAACACGCATGTGCCCCAACTCTTCTTCTTCTTGTTTTTTCAATAATTTATTTTTTATTATCGATTTTTAGATGAAGATTATAGACGATCAACATTATTTTTTGAATTTCACATGTAGCTTGGTGAGAAGAAAAAATATGTGATATGTTTTTATATTTTAAAATAAATATGTATTTAAAATTTATTCTTTTTGTTTTATCATTTCTTATGGAGATTGGCATCTAACTATTTTTTATTTTTTATTTTTTTGTTTAAATTTTATTTATAGACAAATAGAATTTATTTTTCTCAATAAAATGAATTTTTGTAAAAAAATTTAGAATATAATTATTTCTCTTTTTTTAAAAAATAAATTTATATGATGGATTCTTAATTTTTTTTAAATGATAGTAACATGATTATATACATACATATATATCTTTTAAAAAAATATGAGATAAATTATCCGAAAAAAAACAGTTTTAATCTTTAAATTAAATTTACGAAATAAGTTTTTAGTTAAGAATTCATGAATTTCTTTTTTTTTTTTACAAATTATTGTAAGTTTTTAGTTAAGAATCCAAATAAAAGATAATAAATCATTTTTTTAGTAGAAAAATCATGAAAAAATATAATGAATAATTAGTTAAATACAAAATTTTGATATAAAAAATCATAAAATTAAATGAATTTTTATTTGATATATTTTAGTAAACTCACGAGCATAACACGGACCATGAAACTGGAAAAAAAATTTTTATATATTTTATTCGACCCATAGCATAATGCAAAAAAAAAAAAAAGTACAAACTAAATACGCTTATGACTAATAAAACTTCGATATTAAAATAATGCATCGATATTCTCATGCTTGGCATTCACACTTAGGAGTTGGTGTTTTTCTCTTTTGTTATGAAGAAGATATTCAAATCCGAGACCTTTTTAAAAAGAGAATAGGATAATGTTACTTGAGCTATACAAACTAAGTAGGCTTTTGACTTTAATTATTTGAGACCTTTTCAAAGAGAGAATAGCATAATGTTACTTGAGCTATACAAACTAAGCGAGGCTTTTGAGTTTAATTTTTTTTTCCGGAACATCAAACTGGAAAAAAAAATTTACATATTTTATTCGACCCATAACGTAATACAAAAAAAAAAAAAAAAACAAGTACAAACTAAATATGCTTACGATCGTAATAAAACTTTGATATTGAAAAAATGTATCAATATTCTCACGATTGGCATTCACACTTAGGAGTTGGTGTTTTTCTCATTTGTTATGAAGAAGAAATTCAAATCCGAGACCTTTTTAAAAGGAGAATAGCATAATGTTACTTAAGCTACACAAACTAAATAGGCTTTTCACTTCAATCTTTGTATAAATAATTATGGTTCATTGACCAAAGGTAAAAAAATAAAAATAATAAACAAGTACCATGTTAGAGAAGTAGAAAAAGACTTTTAGGAAATAGGAAAATATTGTCCAAATTAACTAAAATGTTACCTTCACTCGCACTTCGTTATTTTTACCTTACAACACCATAAAAATATCAAACAAATCATATTGGATTGCTTAAGTCTAGGGATGGCAATTTGCCCTACCCCGACGGGGCCTTGTATCACCTTACATTGACTTTGAACAGAAATGGAGCAAGGATGGTATTTGTCTACCTTACATATTATACCCTTTATGTGATAATCATGATGTCAATGAAATTAGAGGAGGAATTTCTAATTAGGGATTTGAAGTATGGAGCCTTAAAAATGTTTGAGAATATAAAAATCAATTCTAACTCAGTCGATGGTGGATAGATTTAGGTAACCACCTCACCTTATTTTTGTGCATACTTATTGATGGTTTCTTTTATACCAGCTTTTATATTCTATAGGCTCGATTGATTTAAAACAACCTTCATATTAAATTTATACTCGCTTAACGAAAGCATCAACTAGAGACTTTCATTTCTTGATCTTGACATCGTCTAGTTGTATGTACTAACTAAAAACAAATCCACTTAGACTTTTGTGATAAAAATATATGAGCAATTTCTCATTATGTACAACCTTAGTCATTTTGTTACAATACTCTTGTAGATGAGTTATTGGACACCGAATACTTGTGTATTTGAAAACTTTTAGAACTTTGAACTTCTTAAGAATTATCACATTTGGTACTAAACATATCTTAGCAGTCTTTATATGATCATACATATCGATGCCTTCAATA